CAATTCCTTCTCTTCCATGGAAAAGAAAAGAAGGCTCACACCGGATCAACTTCGGCTGCTCGAGAGCAGCTTTGATGTTCACAACAAGCTCGAACATGACAGGAAGCTTCAAATTGCAGAGGAGATTGGCTTGCGGCCTCGCCAAGTTGCTGTTTGGTTCCAGAATCGAAGGGCTCGATCCAAGACCAAGAAAATTGTGTTTGATTATGATTCTTTGAATTCTCAATATCAAAAGCTCAAGAATGAGTTTGACAGTCTTGTTAAGCTGAATCAAGAACTGAAAACAGAGGTATGGCATTCAAACTTCCAGATCTGAAATGGGTTTTCTCTAAAACTACTGATTTTTGTACCAGGTTGATGAACTAAGAGAAAAATGGGCTGCCACTGAGAAGATGAAGAACCCCTTTGAACCAGATGAACTTGAAGCCATGGATTCATCAGTTACAGAGCTACTTGGGGAAAGCTTCCTGCAAGATGAAGAAGATGAATTAGGCTACTTGGGGAAGCTAGAAGATGAACTTTCAGCTAATGAGTTCATGGATTCGTATAATATTATCAGTAGTGCAGTTGAAGATCAATCTTTGTGCTTCTGGTCTTTTGATTTCAAGTATGATTCTCAGTGAACTGTTTGATAATAAAAGATTGAAAGTGATGAATATCGCTTCATTTAGTGTCGTTTTGAGTGATGATCTTCACTCTGTCTGCTTCATAACTGGCAAAAGAAATCAGTTTTGACAGTGAAGTAACGAAGAAGATGCTCTGCAAGTGGACAGAAGAAAAAAGTAACCTTTTACACAAAGCATTCCACAGTGCAAAGGCTTTTGCAAACCCAGATTGATGAACAGTAAAGAACTTAACTTTCTGATTGGAATTGAGAATTTGAATGGTTTGTTTCCGATACAGGAAGCCATAAGAATTCCAAATGTGAGACATTGTGTGAGATCTTACGTTCGGGTAACTCTAATAGACACGTTTTAAAAACTTTTAGAAAAAGTCCTTAAAAGGAGAAAGTCCAAAGATAATCATATTTGTTAACCGTTTAGGCAATTACAAAATGATATCAAAGCTAGACACCAAATGGTGTGCTAGCGAGGACGCTGGCCCCCAAGGAAGTGAATTGTGAGATCCTACATCGGTTGGAGAGGAGAATTAAGCATTTTTTTATAGAGGTGTAGAAACTTCTCATTTACATAAACATTTTAAAAATCTTGAAGGGAAGCAAAAAGAAAGTAAAAAATGACAATATCTGACAGTTGGTCCATTGGTGGAAAGTCCAGTTTGAGTATCAGAAGATATTGAACAAGCCAAAATGGCTTTTGGGGCATCCCAATACCTTTTGAGTCTGATATTAGCGTTTTTGTCTCTGCAATGAACTTCGAAAACAGTTCCTTAATCTGATTGAATGAGCCATCACAGTCCATCAAAGAGAGGATTAACTTAGTCAAACATTGGGCGTTGTGATAGCGAGGACGCTAAGCTCCTAAAAAATGGATTGTGAAATCTCACATCAGTTAAAGAAGAAAACGAAGCATTTATTATAAGGATTTGGAAACATTTCCAATTGTCATATATAACAGGCTAAAGCAGACGATATCTACTAACGATGGATTTGGACTGTTACAAATGGTTTTAGAGCCAGACACCGACCAGTGTGATAGCGAAGATGCTGGGTCCTCAAGAGAGGTGGATTGTGAGATTCCATGTTGATTCGAGAGGGGCGTTTGGATTGTTTGAGTTAAAAGCTAAAGTCAAATAATAAGAACATAATAGATCTATGCTTTAATGGCAGGCAGCAATGTGAAAAGGAAGAAGAATTTAAGTTATTGTTAGGATTAAAATATTATGCACGTGGGATTCACTTAAGACACTTGGCAAAAAAATGGGATTTGAAGATCTTCACTATAGGAATGGAGGCTGCCGCATTTGGCACATGTGAATTGGCTGTTTGGTCAATCTCAATCAATTGATAACGTTGGTGTCCAACTTTCAATGGTTTGGTTTTTTGTTTTTTGTTTTTAATTTCGTGTCAACATATAGGAGATGGGGTTTTGCGTATCAAAATGAGTATAGCCAGCTGACTTTGTTTATGATGTTTGATTGATTCTTACATCAACGGTTGAATTAATGAAACGTTCCATGTCTGTCTATGTTCTTAAGTTTTGAAACGTTCCATGTCTGTCTATGTTCTTAAGTTTGTGTGGTCTTCATTGTTTTAAAAACTTTAATTTGTCAATGATGGCCGTTCTTAATTATAATAAAGAATTCATGTGTGAACGAGACAATTTAAATATCCTACAGTAAAATCTAATAAGGACGACAATAATGTATAAGCTCGCAAACAAAGCCATGAGAGTTTATGCTCAAAGTGGACAATATTATACCATTGTGGAGAGTCGTGATTCCTAACACTCACATGTAAAAAAAAAAAAAAACAAGATTCGCTATTCTAAGCTCGCAAACAATCATAAGAACAGCATTTACACAGCAGTTATCAGCTCAGTAAGACAAATGAAAGTCGTTTGCCTACATTTTCTCTTCTAAACAGTGTTCACAAAACAAACTTAAACTCACAAATCTAAGTCAAGATGAATCAGACTAAGGTCAAACAGGACATTGTTCATTGTCACTAGAAATAGAAATACTAACCTCGTTTATTTAATTCCTTTGTTGAAAGCTTTGCGAATGAGTCGAAGAATGCTCCACATGAAAGTCGATATAATGAAAAGAATCACTCCAGTGAAAACAGCCTCCTTAAGACCAAGATTCACCAACAAGTTCACCAAAAGCCCTGCCAATACAACACCAAAGAAATTTGCAGAAAGGCCTGACCAGAATGGCATGTCTAGGATGGAAGCTATAATGGCACCAGTCCAAGCTCCTGTTCCAGGGAAAGGCACAGCCACGAATAGCATTAGACCGAGCCATTGAAACTCTTCAACAGGTGCAGCCTTCGCTTTGGCCCTCTTGAATAACATATCGAGGAATTGAGAGGCAGTAGCATTCCTTCCCGCAAGGAAAGTTGCAAATTTCTTTAAATAGAGTATGATGAAGGGCACAGGAACCATGTTCCTGCAATTTGAATCCCACAAATTATTATGAGTGAAAAAACAAACTTGAACAAATTAAAGAATACAAGAGGTACGAGCTTCAATCAAGCAAATAAGACTTAAAAGGATAATCACCAAAAGTACTACAAATTCTATCATTCCTTTTATCCAAAAGACCCAACAAAATCAAACAAACTGGCCTGCTATAAAAAAAACTGTGAGATCTCACCTTCATGGTCGGAGAGGAGAACAAAGCATTCTTTATAAGGGTGTAGAAACCTCTCCCTAGTAGACGAGTTTTAAAAACCTTGAGGGAAAGCTCAGAGGAAAAGTCCAAAGAGGACAATATCGACTAGCGGTGGGCTTAGACCGTTACAAATGGTATCAGAGCTAGACACCGAGCGATGTGTCAGCGAGGAGGCTGAGTCCCAAAGGGGGTGGACACGAGGCGGTGTGCCAGCAAGAACACTGGGCTCCGAAGGGGGTGGATTGGTGGGTCCCACATTGATTGGAGAAGAGAACGAGTGCCAGTGAGGACGCTGGACCCTGAAGGGGGGTGGACTGTAAGTTCCCACATCAGTTAGAGAGGAGAACGAAACATTATTTATAAGGGTGTGGAAACCTCTCCCTAGCAAACGCGTTTTAAGAACATTAAGGGGAAGCCTGAAAGGGGAAGCATAAAGAGGACGATATCTGCTAGCGGTCGTTACAAAAACATTGAAAGGCAGATGAAGTAAGAGCTCCTTGACCACAGAGCTACAACCTCTAGACCAATCTATACGAAAACAATATATCTCAAACAAGAAGCTCCAAACTAAAAAAAGTGAAAATAAAGGAATGTCATGTAGAAACAGATCATTGATTTCAGGTAATCAGATTTTAAGATTCACTCATGCAGAAGAGTTTAACATAAACGATGGAAGAAATTCCTCAGATGATCACTGGTCTAAGACTCAAGAACCATTTTAAAGTTCACTTCAAACATCCATCAACGTTTAAATTGTGCTTCAAGATTTAGGCCTACTTTGATTCATAGGAGGCTTGTGTCTCCATGAACACACTGAGGTTTGAAATCTCTACATCTATTGTAATGGCTAGAACGATAATATGAACTTGCCTTCTATTATTCAAGACATAAAGGCCCACTTATATATGTAACACCAATCAAGCATGAACTTGTAGTAATCTATTCACACTAAAACGTTAATGCCCATGAGAAGAAATTTGGAGAACATGTAGAATCAAGGAAATGAGTTTTCGGACATCAAAAATTGAAATCTCACCCAAGAACGGATAGAACGGTCAGAGCTACAGGCTTTAGCTGCATCCAGTAGCCAACAGGGATCGCCCCACGGAGCTCAACAACAGGAAGCGTAGCGAGGGCAAATACTATCGCCTCAGCAGGCCAGCCTGAGCTCTGCAATGCGCTGGCGATCTTTAGACCAAAATTCGAAGCTCTGATAGAGTCAACAGCAGCTTTGGCATCCCCAGAAGCAGCAAACCAAGCAAGGGATAAAGAAGCCCAAAACAGAACCAACAGCATCATAACTTTAACTGGCTTCTCCTCAAAAGAGGGCAAAATGTCATCAACTTCCAGAAACTCATTCGATGAACATCGAGTGACAGTACAAGACATCCGAGAAGTCGAGAAAACAGGATTAAAACAGTTGAAATGGCGAATGTTTATACATGAACTCGACCTAGGGAGAGGTTGTTTACCCGGATTAATGGAGGGTCGATTGAGATTTAGCGAGATAAGGGTCTTTCTCGCGGAAAAGGCCGACATTAATGGTGAAGTCAACACTAAAGAAGTAGCCATTCCTTACCGGAAGCTGAAGAACACGTCTGGGGCTAAATTCTTCCAGAAAATCCCTCTTCTGCTAAGTGGGATTTTGGCATTGGAAATCAATTTAGAGGATGATAATGGAAGGGGGTTGAGAGGAGATTTATCCGATGCCGATCACAAGGGTTCAAGCAGAGTTCTTGCTACGATTTTACCCAATAAAGAGGAGAGTTGGAAAAAACAAAAAATTTATGTGATATTTTGTAGGAAGGACATAGTTTTAGGGATTTTTGTATGAGTGACCTAATTATTATTATTATTATTATTATTAATTGTACTTTTTATTTGAACTATGAAGGAGAAATCTATGTTCATTAGCTTAAACCATTATTTATGGATATTTTAGAAACATTCTTTTTTTGAAAAGGGTTTGCTATTGGCTGCGGTCACTGTAATTTAGATCAAGCTTCAACACGGAAAGAACTCAGTGGCGAACTCGGGTGTCCAATCGAAGAAAAGTTCGTGTTTCTTAGACGTCGGCGTGACTCAGTGCACCGGCGGACAACCCAATCGGAGAAAGCTACTTGAAGAAAAACGACAGTCTAGATTAATATTGGCCTTTGCATTAGGCGCGAGTTAATGGAAGTCGACGCCGACGGCGAGCAAGAGATATGGAGTTGGGGGGCAGGAACCGACGGGCAGCTGGGCACCGGGCGACTCGAGGATGAGATCCTCCCTCAACTCCTCCGGATTCCGTCACTCTCCTCTGGCGCCGTCGTTTCATCCGTGTCCTGCGGCGGCGCTCATGTCATCGCTTTGACTGCTGGTATCCGATTCTCTTGTTTCCCATCCTTTTGTTGGCCTTAATGCAAATTTCTATGAGTTCATTAAGGTTTTCAGTTTGGTGGTAATTCAACTGGGTGCTTATGTTTGGTAAGGAGGAGGGGTGCTTACATGGGGAAGAGGCAATTCAGGGCAGTTGGGGCTAGGGGACATGGTGAGCAGCTTAGAACCTAAGCCAGTGATGGGGTTGGAAGGCTGCTTCATAACCCATGTTTCTGCGGGATGGAGCCATTCTGGTTTTGTTTCAGGTTGGCTTATTGTTGGTTCCTTCCTTGTGAAAGCTTGGTTTACAACATGTTGTTTTCATTTTTGTGGTTTTCTGTTGTAGATGAGGGAAAGGTTTATAGTTGTGGGGATGGCTCATTTGGGCAGTTAGGGCATGGGGATTTCCAGTCACGTTGCTTCCCTGATGAACTCTTGTTTTTCTCTGATAAACATGTTGATCAGATTGCATGTGGGATGCGCCACTCGCTTGCATTGGTGAAAGGTATTGAAAAGTATGTACCAACATAATCATCATTGTAATGTAATGTTTCAGTGTGAAGATTGGTTTCCTTGAATCCTTGATTGTGGTTGTATTTTAAGCTTTCTATAACCACTCAAACCCACTTGTTAGCAGATATTGTCCTCTTCAGAGATTCTTCTCCTCAAGGTTATAAAAAATGTATGATTGGGAGAAGTTTCCACACCCTTACGGGAAATGTTTCGTTCTCCTCTCCAACCGATGTGGGATCTTACAGTCCACTCCCTTTGGGGTCCAGCGTTCTCACCGACACTCGTTCCCTTCTTCAATCGATGTGGGATCCCCTAATCCACCTCCTTTGAGGCCTAGTGTCCTTGCTGGCACACTTTCTCGTGTCCACCCCCTTCGGGGCTCAGCCTCCTTGCACTCGTTACTTTCTCTAATTGATGTGGGACCCCCTAATCCATCCTCCTTCGGGCCCCAGTGTCTATGATATGTGTACAGTAGTGACTTTAGGTTAAGTAGAAAATCAACCATCGCTAATGGAACTTCCATTGTAATTACTATCTGGGGTTGGGAATCATTTTTGTATGTTTGGCCTCTCCTTTTCATTCATCAGATGAAATTATTAATCCAAGCTGTAGAGGTCGAATCTGTTGGCTTCATAGGAAACAAGGGATGAGCATCAGACAATGATGAATAGCTTCAACATTCGTTGATAGCTTTCTAAGTCTTTGATTTAAAATTTGATGACGCAGGTTGTTGTGGTGCTCAAGTTTATGGATTTGGAGCTGGGAAGCGAGGTCAATTGGGCATCTCCAAGAAGATTCAATCTGTTAATCTTCCCGTTCTATCTTCAGAATTGGAAGCTGCTGAAATAGTCGGCATAGCTGCAGCTGGAGATCACAGTGCTGCGCTATCCAGTAAGTTACAATTACAGAGTCTGTTAAGAACATTCTGCTTAACCCCTGTTAATTTCCCATCTCTTCGTTCTGTATTGGCTATTACTTTAGCTGATGGGCGTCTCTTTACGTGGGGACGAGGATTCAGAACGAATTCGGATGCATTTTCTCCTCAATATCTTCCTTCACCATTGTCGTTCAGGAAAGTTGCTCTTGGATGGAACCATGCACTAGTTTTAACTGGTATTGACATTCAGTTCACTTCTTATTTGGATTATGTATATGTGATGATCTTCTGCTTGTTAAGTGGCAACCATGGCTATCTTGAACAGATGAAGGGGAACTTTATATGCTTGGTGGCAAACATCACGGAACCTTGAGCGATTCTGAAAAGCTCAATGCCACGAATTCTCTGCCCGGTAATCAAATTAACTTGTCTATTTGATTCATTAAGAAACCTATCTTAGAATTGAAAATTAATCTTGTGTAACAGCTCAAGGTTTTTAAAACACGTTTACTAGAGAGAGGTTTTCACACATTTATAAAAAGAATGTTTCGTTCTCCGCCCAATCCAATGTGGGATGAAGAAACGATTCTAATCTTTGGATGAGTTGCTTGTTGATTACCACATAATACGAGATTCCCATTGTAAATCAGGTGCTACAAATGAAGACAATTTCCGAGCAGTCCCTGCTGGTGGAATAAAAATCTTGGATATCGCAGCCGGGGCTGAGCATTCTGTGGTGGTTACAGGCATGGTTTTCCGAAGTTGTTGATTAAAACCATTTAGGTTCGCCCTACTCACATGTCTAAATCTTATTGATTGCAGAGGATGGAGCTGTAAAGACATGGGGCTGGGGGGAGCATGGTCAGCTGGGTTTGGGAGATACATGTGACCACACCAACCCACAAACAGTTTTTCTGCGCCACAAACTTGAGAGTGCAGATTTTGACGTCAAAGTTTATTCTGGCAGCGGCTTTACTGTTGCCATTACAACGCCCCATGCGGCTGCAAAGCTCACCAATTGAAACTGCAATTGGACCTTTGAGTTGCCTGGTAGCTGGTCTGTCATTGTATGATTTTAACTGCTAATGGAATATTACATTTCACCATCACAGGCTGAAATAAAACATCAACGATTATATTGAGCTAACTGATTCCCGGGAAGTAATTGCTACCTATTTTACCTATATTTTTTGGTCAGCGAGAAATGCAAATACGTGGGAGACAGGAAGAAACCTAAACTGGAAGTCGAAAGTAGAAAGAAATACATGTATAAGTCGTACGAAAATGCTACAAAAGAAGGGGAGGTTGAGGCACCCGGCTCTTTGGGCTAGGCAAGAAAAAGAATATAAACAGCCTGGCGTTCTACGTGACGATCAGTAGATTGTTCTCGTATCCATCGCTGCTAACAATTGGGCGTAACGGATCAATCTTCCACTGGCCATCAACAATGAATTTTATCTGAATATCATGGAAAACTGTAAGATTATGGTTCAAAAGCATAAATTATGTGAATAGAACCTCCGAAGAACAACCAACCTCGTATTTTCCAGGATACAGCTTCAGGAACAAAGAGAAAACGCCTGTACTGGACCTTTCCATCTTCCTCTGCAGAATGAGAATAAGCTGTTGTTAAATAAGAGTAAGACTACAAGAGATGAATGAATAAAAGCTCATAAAACTGTAGAGTTATTCAGTAATGCGATTTGCAGATGAACATCCTTAACAACACTTCATACTACTGTTTCTATTATCGTACTTGTGTAGCATCTAACTATTAGAAAATGCAGGCGGTTGATATAATGATACCTACAGTGTAACAGCCTAAGCCCACTAATAGCAGATATTGTTCTTTTTGGGTTTTTCCTCTCGGACTTCCCCTCAAGGCTTTTAAAACATGTCCGTTGGGGAGAGGTTTCCACATCCTTATAAAGAATGTTTCGTTTTCCTCCCCATCAATAGGCAGGCAGGCAAGCAGTACATTCTATAGGAAATAGAGAGAAACCAATCCATGTCCTCCCTAAGTATTTCAACCATCAAAACAAGCAAAGTAATCAAATAGGAAGAATTTTTTTTACCTGGGTTGACCAACCATCAAATGATCCTACCAAGAGAACCTCTGCTGCAGAATTAGGCCAGACCACGCAGGCAGTGCGAAGAAATTGCAAAGCTCTGCGGGCACAATTGATCCTCTTTTGTTTCTCTTCTACCACCTTTTGTGCATCACTGTAAAGACAGAAAGTCATTGATACGCCATAGATAAGACAAATCACTATGCAAAGCACAAGGTTCCCATACATAATTGTCAGTGCCATCTTTCCTTCCACCACGGCTATCTTTGCCCGTATAGACCGTAGCTTGTCCTTGGCATTTAGGATCTCATTTTCTTGAAACTCAAAAGCATCCGAAAGCTCCAGCAAATCATCAGAAGGTTTACTTTGACCCTAATGATCATGATAGCACCATAAACATGCAGGTTCAATGTTTTATTGTATTTAACATTACTGCCCAACAATCAAGAGATATTCATCCTTTTTATCAATGCTATTAGACTAGCTGGCGTCTTTTACTTTATTCAGATCCTTCTCCAGTTTCATGATAGGAAATGAAAAAAATCAATTTCATCCATTTCAATCAAAGACATGCAGATCGTCACAGTTCATTTGACAACAAAATCAAGTTGCAGACTAAACCTTCTCAGACGCAAATGCATTAGATCTCAATGAGCCGATTGCGGATGAGAGCTCCAACTGCAAGTTCTGAATGTAACGTTGTATTTGATTGTGACTCATTTCTTCCTCGCCAGAGTTAGAATTGGTAGGATCCCCTCTAGATCCTAATGTTTCATATCTCAGAACATCCAATACTTCCCTGCTCCTTACCTCGCTCAAAGCCATTTCGGAACCTGTACATATAAAAAGTCAGTCAATGTGAACTCTTATATCCCAAAGCAACCCTTGAATAAATGAAAAACCTTTAAAATCTCCGTCTTGAAGGTCTGTCTTGAATGTGCTCCAAGTTCTCTGCACCTCAGAACTAACCGAGCCTCCTTGACCATTAATTTGTACAGGAGAAGAATTCTTACTAAGATAACTCCCCAAATTGGTCCACTTGCCTTCTTTGGCACTCAGTGGCGTGCTGATAGGGATTTCTTGTAGGTCAGCAACTGTCTTTTACCATGCAAGAAGCAGCACAAGTTTCATCCTTTTACAATTCTTACAAGAGAAATATACATGTAACGATTTGAAAGTTGAAAAATGAAAAATAAATCATAGCACAAGCACGGCTAATTATGACAACCCAATGGGAAAGACACCCTACATCAAATTCAAAGGTATATCCTTTACCCTGGTTACTCTAACGATGATTATTTTCAAGACAGGAGAAATTACTCTAATGAGTACTTACTAATATGAGAGAAGTTATATCTACAGGAATTATGGAAATGAAAACCGTTCTAACCATTGGAAGAAAGCAACCCGATGAAATCTAATTACATCTTTAATCACGGACAACAACCTTGCCCAGATTCGGAAAATCAGTTTATTGAATTACTGAAGCATCCTTACCTCCTTTGCTGTTGTTTCAGAATGCAAACCATTTTTACCAGTCCCGAACGTCGCATTTCTTTCTCTTTCCAATCGATTCAGCATACCCTCAATCCCAGACTCATGCTCAGCAACAGTTTCTCTGTGAAAAGGAAAGCATGTAGACTAATCACCATTGCAAATATTGTTGATAGCAGCCAAAACATGATACGACAAGGAAAGCTCGATTAATGTTCTGCAGTTAAAATGATTATTAAGGTACCCAGATTTGAAGTTATTTTGCTTCATTTTCTCAAACATGAAGAAATCATCTTAAATTTTCTCCATGAGACAATGACATTAAGGTTGATGGCTCGTTGGCAACCATGTTAAATGACCCTGTTAGTAAAATTTGTGTCCTTCACATCCTGACACAACATCTTGTTATCGTAAAAAATCAGGTTTCTTTTCATTGGCATGCTATAAAATACCCTGAAGATTGCAAGGAACAAATTTCAAGTCAATAGCCTTTTCACGCACGTTTTTCGGAAATAGTTCTTTGTAGAAGTAGTTATTTCAAATGAAGCATAAATAAACTAAGATGTCATAATGGAATCCTCACTGTGATCGGCTGGTGAAGGAAGATGATGTCGAAGAAGAAGCAATGGGAGAAACATCTGTAGCAAATCTTTGTCTTTCATCACTCTTGAAACTATTGAATTCACCAAAACTATCCCAATGAGTGGCCAAGATGGATTCCCGATCCTCGAGATAGAGCTGTTCAATACCCCCATCTTCTTCGTCGTTCAAATTCCATCCGAGACAAAGCCAACCACCTTTCTTGACAATAGCATCCACTAAATCCTCCCTGCCGGCCTCAATCAAGTCTTTCTTGCTCGGAAACGCTTCTGGGTTTCTTGAACTTTCCATAAACTCCAATATCTCTGCCTCCAACGCAAAATTCCCTTCACTATCCAAACCTTTGCACCTCCTTACAAACCCAGAACAACCATAAAACATACCCTTTGAAGACAAAAGCGAACACCTCCTTTCTGTCGCAGCCATATGATACGAATTCCCGCCGCATCTCGAAACAAAGACAAAGGAGGGAAAAGCGCAAGGGCTCAAACATCCGAACGGTGTGGGGAAGAAATAAGAAGTGGGTAATGCGTTGGTGAAGAGGAGCATGGCTCAGGCATTTCGTCGAACACCTGGAGCGCAAGGAGAAGAGAAAAATTAGGCGACAGAACAAAGAAGGGCACGACACAGTTCTCGAAGCAACCGAACAAAACCAGTGGGAAATGCAAGCCACATTAATTAAACGCAGCAATGAGATAACCTTACGTTGAAGGGGCAATCTCGGGCGCGGGGAAGGTAATTGGTGGAGGCTTGATTTATATGTTACATCGAATTGGGGGTTGGTAAAAGACGGAGAAGAAACAAGAACCGCGGTGGTGGTTCACTTGTTCACGAGAAAGTTGTTCGATAAATCAAGCAGCAGCCTTGTGGCTGTGACCTTCACCGGTGATTGAGATTCCAGCGGTTTAAAAGGCTATAAAGATCATTAAAAATAATATAAAAATATGCCTAAATTGTCTTTAAAAAATATTCCTTATTCTCGCTATATTTTAAAAATATTATATAAATTTTAAAATAACATTAACATCATTTACTTTACAAAAAAAAAAAATAATAAAATTCAAAAACCACCCGCTAATTTAGAAAATGATCATGGTTTATAATCAATAAATACTAGAAGAAACTCAAACCAAAGTTATGGGAGCTTATACTCAAAGTAGACAATATCATACAATTATGGAGAGTTGTGTTCATTCATGGTATCAGAGCCCTAAACTTTGTTCGATTAAGGGGAGACATAGTTTGTTCGATGGAAGGTGTTGGATGAAAGTCCTATATCAACGGACTAATTTAAGGAATGATCGTGAGTTTATAAGGTTATTTTTGTCACGAAATCGATCAACTTTGTTGGTATTGTAAAAATAAATTAAAATGATACGCAATAAAGTCATTCTATTTTATCTCTCGCTCTCTCGTTGTCTAGCTATCTCTATCTTTCATATTTAGTCTACCAATTGAGTTTAGTCTATACACGTTCTCACTGCGACTCTAATTACTACTCGAACTACGACTATCTATAATCTACTTCAACTAATTTCTTAATTTCCTTTGTCTCGACTAGTTCATAATATTAACGATTTAATCATTACAATATTGTATAAATATTTAAATCTCAACATAGGATGAGGACAAAAATTATATATAAGGCAAAAGATAAAATAAACATTGTTCACCATTTAGTCATAACCTTAATTAGAAAAAAAATTATATATATAATAAAAACTTTCGAAAATTCCAATCTAAAAAAACAAAAGATTTACAAAAAATAAAATACTTTAATTTTTCTTAAAATTATAAGAAAATAAAATAAATTGTTCGACTCGTCGACGGGGAAGGTCGGCAACCACGTCAGACGGATGCAAACAAAAACTAAAAAATATTTATTTACTATTTTTCATTTTTGTTTATATTATTTTAAAACGTATAATGGTTTTAAATATAGTATTTTTAAAAAATTGATTGTTCTAATTTCAAATTTGCGAGAGATAAAAATAGGTATACCAAATATATATTTTGTTTCTTCTGTAATAAAAAAATGGTCAATAATTATTAATTATGTTTTTGTCTTGATTCCCTAATTAATTAAATAAAATATAAATAAATTGATAAAATAAAGCACATTGTTAGGTGTATTATGAAATAACAAATTTAGTTTCATTATTAAAAAAAAAAATTGATAGTTTTAAAAGTTAAAATTTTATCTTATATTTTTTTAATTAATTTTAAATTTTAAAATTATAGGAATTAAACTATCACTTTTTTTTTCATCAATCACGTTTTTATTAAATGTATATTAAATTATACGTTTTAAAATATTTTAAATTTGGCAACTTTCGTATATTATGAAATAAGGAAAGTTACAAAAATAAATTATTTATAATATGACAAATTATAAACTACAAAATTCTATATTCTAAACACACATGATACACATTAATAAATCCTTTTAAAAATATGGCAACTTTGATTCGACTAATTCAAAAATATATTAAAATTAAAAAAAACAATAATAATTAAATTTTTTACAAATTAATATCCTTTTAACTTTTAATTTGATAAATCGATACCTAAATTTCGTTGAATATTATATTAACCCTTTTACGTGTGATTCATATGTTAGTAGAGAAGATAGAGACGATAGTTGATTAAATTAAGAATTTATTAGGGTGATTTTTATCTATTTTTTTAAAAATAAAATATTTTAAAATATTTTTTATATTTTTTTAAAGAAAAAATCCGGGATTTTATTGTATATCCACGTGGTAGGGGAGGGGCTTGTTTGATACGTGGTTGGCTTCTCTTCTCTCTAACGTACACCGCAATCTCTCTCTCTCTTTGTATTTCTCCATTTGTTTGTATTATTATATTACCTTTTCTTTTTTCTTTTTTTATAGTTAAAAATTACCAACATCAATCAAAGCTTCAATTCACAAAAGGATAATTAGTAGTTTAGTTATATATATATATATATATATATATTATATGCGAGTATTTGTAGCGTTATAAATATTTATTTAATATTAATAGACTCCACGTCGTTTAAAAATAAATATTGATGTGACACTCGAAAAGTAATAAAACTACATGAATTGACGAGAGTCATCATGAGAATAAGATAATTAAAAAAGTTACTACTTATTATACCTATTTCTTTTGTTTGGTGATTAAATCCTATCGACTTTAAAATTCAAGTACAATTGTAAGCTAATGAGATATGAGCTTCTCGTCGGGCGGATTCCTCCTTTTACTCTTCAGCGTACAGAGTATTAGTAGCCGTTTTCAACTGTTGTTCCCCTCTTAAGGGTAGATTTTTACGCGTTACTCATTTGTCCGCCACTTGAAACTCCACTTTCTGTCTAACTTGCATGTGTTAAGTATGCCTCCCGCTTGAGCCATGATTCGAACTCTCATAGGGAGATGATGGGTTAAAATTTTGTGTTGACCAAGTGATATCACCTTTAGAAGCAACGCTCTATAAATTAAGCCACACCCAAGAAAGAAGGGCAAACCAGAGAGGGAAAAAATGGAGGTTGAAGGGCATAGCAAGGCTGCAAGCTCTCCCACCAAGTTACATTGCTTGACCGACGATGACAGTCCCAAACTATCCGTTTCCCCACAGCGGAGCTCTGGAAGAAAGCCGGGCGGATGGAAGAGCATGCCCTACATCCTTGGTAGCTACAATTGCTTGGGTTTCTTTATGGGGGTGGAGGCTTCTCTCTTAACGTTCTGCTTATTTTACAGGAAATGAAACGTTTGAACGGCTGGCTTCAATGGGATTGCTAGCCAACTTCATGGTGTATTTGATCAAAGTATATCACATGGATCAAGTTTCCGCCACCACCTTAATCAACGTATGGACCGGCGTTACCAATTTCTTGCCGCTTCTCGGCGCCTTTCTCTCCGACGCTTATGTCGGTCGCTACTGGACCATCGCCGTTGCTTCCGTTTTCTCTCTTTTCGTAATCCTCTCTCTCTCTCTCTATTTTGAAATGGGATTTCAAAGTTTGGTGTTTTATATGAGATAATACTTGAATTATGTTATTCCTGACCATAACAGGGGATGGCGTCGATGACTTTGACGGCGTGGTTGCCGGCGCTACATCCGCCGGCGTGCGGTGGAGGGAAATGCGAGGGGCCAACGTCGTTCCAAATGGGATTCTTAATAATGAGTCTTTGTGTGGTATCAATCGGCAGCGGCGGAATCCGGCCGTGTAGTATTCCGTTCGGCGTCGATCAATTTGACCCAACGACGGACGCAGGGAGGAAAGGAATAGTCAGTTTTTATAATTGGTACTACACCACGTTCAACGTGGTTTTGGTGGTTACTTTGACGATCGTGGTGTATATTCAAGACTCTGTTAGCTGGGTTTTGGGGTATGGCATCCCCACAGCGCTTATGTTCTGTTCCATCGTTCTGTTCTTCATGGGTACTCATGTTTATGTGTTTATTAAGCCTGAGGGTAGCGTGTTTACCGGCTTGGTTCAAGTCGCCGTCGCCGCCTATAAGAAGCGGAAGGTTGAGCTTCCTTCTCTTGAAACGAACCACCGGACAGTTTTCTATGACCCTCCATTGGAGCCTGGCTCTGTTGTCCTCTCAAAGCTTCCTCTCACCGACCAATTCAGGTCACCTCTGTTCTCTGTCTCTGTTTCTCTCTGTTTCTACACCCTGTTCTGATTTGTACGAGGTTTTACAGATTCTTGAACAAGGCCGCCGTTGTTATGGAGAAGGAGCTAAACCCAGATGGAAAAAGAACAAACAAATGGAATCTAAGCACAATCCAACAAGTTGAGGAATTCAAATGCTTGATCAGAGTTGCTCCGATTTGGGTTACCGGAATTCTCAGCCTGACTCCAATTATTCAACAGGCGACTTTCTCGATCTCCCAAGCTCTGCTAATGGACCGTCGCATCGGACCCAATTTCCATATCCCACCGGCGTCAATCATCGTCATTTCCTTCTTCACCATCACTCTCTTCGTCCCCATCTACGACCGATTCCTCGTCCCCTTCCTTCGCAAATTCACCAACCACCAAAACGGCATTACCCAGCTCCAACGAATGGCCGTCGGCATAATCTTCGCCGTTCTCTCCATGGTCATCGCCGGCTTAATCGAGATGGCTCGAAGAAATCGAGCCAATGCCGGCGGCAGTTCCATGTCGGTATTCTGGCTGACACCGCAATTCTTCCTTATGGGTCTCTGCGAGGCATTTAATATAATTGGGCAAATCGAGTTTTTCAATAAGGAATTTCCAGAGCATATGAGGACGATGGGGAATGCTCTGTCGTCTTGTTCGATTGCGTTGTCGAGCTATGTCAGCACTGCTCTGATTTTAATTGTGCATGGAACCACCGGCGGCGGCAGCGACGATGGGCGGACCGATTGGTTGGCGGATGATCTGAACAAAGGTAGATTGGATTACTTCTACTACATTGTTGCAGCGACGGCGTTCTTTAACTTTTTCCTTTTTCTTTACTGCGCTAAGAATTACCGTTACAAGGGCAAAGAATCCGCCTCCGAACTTCATTTTGAGCTTGCTAGCTCCGAGAAAAAGCTGGAGGTGTGAGTGTTTAAACTAAGAAAATTGTGTGATTTGTAGCTTAGCAGAACTGGATTAATAATTAATTAGCCTCTTAGTTCAACCTTAGCTGTATGATGGACAACTATCTCGTATGGTTCAATTCGGAGAGTACTCGACACTGAGATCTGATTATGGTTCGACAAGGAAAAGACTTTATGATGAAGCTTTCCATTTCCCTGTGATCGACTTTAGGCCTTTTCTGGAAGCTGGCTGTTCGTGTTGCTAATATCCTTCGAAGTACTCTAAATTTGTCGAGTGGATTCCTTTATGGTTCAGGGAGGCTGTAAATACTTATGACAGAACTATAAATATTATTAGACTCGTTGAAAATAAATAAGGGGTTGATTTGATTAATATTGTAATATATAAATAATAAGGCTCAAAATTAATTGTTCTGACTTCAATTCTGTAAATTTTTGACCTATTAATCAAAATAGAGCATAATTCATAATTTTATATATATATATATTATAATCGTTTTCTTGAAATTAGAAAAGAAAATCCAATTGTGAGTTTCAATCAAAGAAGGGTTCATTGGATCTGAAAATTTGTATTAAATAATAATAATAATAATAAATAAATAAATAAATAAATAAATAAATAAGAGTGTTAAATTCAACCACTGTATTGGTGGGAAGGTCGGCAACAGGTAGAGAAGAATCAAACAAAAGTATATAAATAAATGTTATTTTATTATTATAAAAAATATTTTAAAAAGTTTGGATAATATCTTTAAAAAAAATTTAAAATAATTTCTTATTAATTTTAGATAAAAACTTTTAAGTATTTTATTAAAATTTAAGTTTTTATTAATTTATTTAATTTTTTAAAAATTATTTGTTCAGCTACGTGGAGATTCGCGGTTCCCGCTCACCTTTACTTCCCTCACTCCCTTTCATTTTCATTCTCAGTTGCCGATGGATACTGAGAATGAGAACCCCGGCTCCAATGGCTGTTTCAGAAGGGCTTCTTCATACCAGAACCAGCCTCGAAGAAAGCCTGGTGGATGGAAGACCATGCCTTACATCTTAGGTCTCTCTCTCGCTCTCTCTGTTCCGTTTTGTTTATTTTGCGAATTGGGTGTGATTATAAGAAAGGTGTATCACTTGAATCAAGTTTGTGCGACTAGTTTAATCAACGCTTGGTCGATTGCAAGTAACTGTACTCCTCTGGTTGGAGCTTTCATTTCCGATGCCTATCTTGGCCGTTTCTTCACCATTGCACTTGGATCCATAGTTTCTCTTTTGGTATTTATTCTTACTTTACTATTAAGTTCGTCACTGGAATGATTGTATAAGACTTTCAAGTTGTTGAATCTGTAAATTGTTGAATGGAATATGCGCTGTGCCTGAACCCTACACCTTGGAAGGGAAATTATGTTGTTTTTGGCCAACCCCTAGTTCATATATTTGACTTTGACTGTGATGTTGCTGGTCAGATGAATACGAGTTCGGGAGGACTATTGAAAGGAATAGTTACACATTGGCTAATTAAGAGGGAGATTATTAGTTTATAAGCAAGGAACACTATTTTCATTGGTATGATGCTTTTTGGAGAAACCAAAAGTAAAGTCACTAGAGTTTAGGCTTAAAGTGGATAATATCATATCATGGTAGAGGTTCATGATTTCTAACATGGTATCAGAGTCATGTCCTTAACTTAGTCATGTCAATATTCTCACATATCGAACAAAAAATTTGAGAGCCTCGAAGGTGTAGTCAAAAGTGACTCAAGTGTCGAATAATGGGTGTACTCCAAAGGAGGAGTCAAGCCTCGATTAAGTGGAGGTTGTTCGAAGGCTCCACCGGCCTCAGGGGAGGCTCTATGTTGTACTTTGTTCGAGGGGAAGATTTTTGAGGATTACTCAAAGGAGTAGTCTCATATTGACTAATTAAGAGGAAGATCATGGAGTTATAAGTAAAGAACACTATCTTTATTGGTATGAAGCCTCTTGGGAAACTCATAAGTAAAGCAATGAGAGATTATCTTCATGGTGGACAATATCATACTATTGTGGAGGTTCGTAATTTCTAACGTTTGACATTTATGGCTGAGTCCTCTTTGTATTAGCGAGTAATTGTTCTACTCAATTGCATGTTCATAGTTAAGCCACAAACCCATTTTCCTCATCACATTCTTTTGATTTAAGATTTTGAATTCAATGGTGATTTATAGGGTATGGCGGGAATGACATTGACGGCATGGATACCACAGTTGCATCCACCGGAATGCGACTCGCCGCTTCAGGCAACGAGCCAAAGCAAAGGTCCGACGAGTCGCAACTAGGCTTTCTAATAATGAGTCTTTGCTTTTTAGCCATTGGCTCAGGCGGGATTAGACCATGTAGTGTTCCTTTTGGCGTGGACCAATTTGATACCTCAACGGAGAAAGGAAGAAAAGGGTTGGGCAGCTTCTACAATTGGTACTACGCCACCTTTTCCATCATTTTGGTCTTCACTGTAACGGTGGTTGTGTGCGTCCAAGACTCTGTCAGCTGGGTGTTGGGCTATGCCATTCCCACACTGCTCATGTTTGGTGCCATCGTCCTCTTCTTTTTGGGCACTCGTGTTTATGTCTACATGAAGCCCGAGGGAAGTGTTTTTACTTGGCTTGCTCAAGTTGTTGTAGCAACATATAAGAAACGGAAGCTTAAGCTCCCTTCTCATGTTCTGTGATTCTCCATTAGACTCTGGAACTGTTGTCATCCCAAAGCTCCCTCTCACTGCCCAATACAGGTCAGAAATTTAGTACCATCTCATATTTATTGATCTTTATAAATGTACTTGTGAAATTCCAAATTGATTGGAGAGGTGAAAGAAACAATATAAGGTTGTGGAAACTTTTTTCTGACAGACACGTTTTAAAACCGTGAGAATGACGGTGATATGTAACGGGCCAAAGCAGACAACATATATAGCAGTGGGCTTGGACTATTATAAATGGTATTAGAGCTAGACACCGGACGGTATGCCAGTGAGGACATTGGGTCCACAGGAGGGTGGATTGTGAGATCTCACATTAGTTGAAGAGGGGAACGAAACATTCCTTATAAGGGTGTAGAAACCTCTTCCTAGCAGACTAGTTTTAAAACTGTGAGGTTGACGGCGATACGTAACGGGTAAAAGCGGACAATATTCACTAGCGGTAGCCTTGGGCTGTTACAAATGATATTAGAGTCAGACATCGGGGAGTGTGTTAGCCATCACACTGGACTCCCAAGGGGGTGGATTGCGAGATCTCACATCGGTTGGAGAGTGAAACGAAACATTCCTTATAAGGGTATGGAAACCTCTTTCTAACATACGCCTTCCAAAAATGTGAGACTGACGACATTACATAACATGCCAAAGCGGACAACATCTATTAGTGTTGTTCTTACCGTTCAAAGAAACTAGAACACTGCCGAACTACTCGTTAAAGTTTGGTTCCAATCGTTGGTCAGATCATGTAAAAGAAGTAAGAGGTGAACTCTGATTTTACAGATTGTTGAACAAGGCGGCAACTGGAGTCTTTGCAGCATACATCAAGTGGAAGAGTTCAAATGTGTACTCAGAGTTGTTCTACCAATTTGAGCATCAACCAGTCTTTGCCTACTAACCATCGTACAACAAGGAACATTCTCAGTATTTAATTATAATAAAATGTATTTAATAGAAAACTAAATATTATAAAATATTTACGTAAGAGTAAAAAGTCAAAGTCAGAGGTATATCCTCGGGTGTGATGTGAAAATGAAAATTATAATACCAATTTAACTAATTTAGAACTAAAATTAATTTTATTAGATATATTTTCTAAAATTGGATTAATTCCTAAATTGAACGCCTCCTTCGCCCAATCACATCATCCTCTTTCCCCTCGCAGAAACCTTTCAAAACCCTCGCTATACTGCTACCCTCTCACCACTAGCTTGGTGGTGCTCCGACGATTAGCCTTTTTATCACCGACTTCTCCGGATTTAACAGCCACCACTTCGCCGGTAACAATGGCGTCTCCCGTTCCTTCCGATGTTTGCGATGGACCAGTCCTCAGTCTCATCAACAAGCGTCTCCGCGCCCTTCGCAAGAAGCACAATCGCATTCTTCAGATGGAGGAGGCTATTGCTCAAGGAAAACCCATCAACAAAGAGCAAGAGGAAGTCCTTCGCTCTAAACCTACTGTGTCTGCCCTAATCGATGAGCTTGAAAAGCTTCGCCCACCGCTTGCGTCGGCTGTCTCCGAGGAAATCAACTTGGCTGTTCAACGCCAGCAGGCAAGTGTCTCCCCTCAACCCGTTTCAACTGATGATTCACCTTCTGAGGTTGTGGATGACAAGACCCGTGACGAGAAAGACCAGTACGAGCACGCTGTGGTCGAAGATCTTCTAAACCTCCTCTACTTTGGCTCTTTGTTTGACGTCAAGTCTCAAAGCGATTTCACTTCGACGATGCTTACGAGAACGCACGAGAGGGGTTGCTGCCTCACGTACGATTATGTCACTGACGATGCTACCGATCTTCTGGCCGAGAGGGATCTGGATTTGATATCGACGATGAGCGGGCTACTGATCTCTCGTCCCGTAGATTCGAATTTGCCGCATAAGAATGCGTTGGAGCGTTGCATCGAGCACGCTAATCTTTGGCTCACGAAGGCAGACAAGTCTATTGGGCCCAACACGGATGTTACTTGTATTGTTACTTTTTTTTTCTTTCTAATCTCTACTCGATATCTTTTTAGCTGGTTTTGTTCGGTTAGTTTCGTTCTTTCAATTTGGGAGTGGTGTTAACTTGTAATACAATTTTGTAGATGCGAACTTGAGAGAGAGGCTGCACAAGATAATGGCGTCGGAGTACTTCACTACCACGCCTGAGATAAAAGGTCCTGTTGAAGTAGCTGCTGTTGCTGCAGGAAATTATGCCAATTTCCAGGTTCCGGTAGCTGTCCATGAAGAAGATTCTGTTGCAAAGTTTCAACAAACGGTATTATTACTTTCTCATACCGCATGATGTTACTTATCTGCCACACAATCTCCTTAAAATGAATTTATCAAGTAAAATTGTCATGTATTTTGTTCTATCTATCGTGCATTGTCTTTCCTTAGCTTAATGACTTTCACCAAACTCTCTTTAAAATTGTAGTTAGAGTAGTGGAATGAAAGTTCTATTAAAAAGGTGAGGATAGTCCTTTCCTATGTGTGTTTGATCAAGATAAGAAACCTTCCTATTGATTTGTGGAGCTTGAAAACCATTAAATATTTTTGTAACTATAGGGGGAGGTTCTTGGAAAAAAAAAAAAAAAAAAAAAAAAAAAA